TGGGGCAATGTCATTCTTTCTGATGGAAGCATAGAATTCCATTGTGTATATATACCACATTTTCTTGATCCATTCATCTACTGAGGGGCATCTGGGTTGGCTCCATATCTTAGCTATGGTAAATAATGCTGCAATAAACATAGTTGTGCTGGTAGCTTTAGTGTGGGCTCCTCCATATCTTCCTCCAGGACGTCCACACTGCAGTTTATCACCAGGGTAAGCTGAAGAAAAGGAGGGGAAGGTGACATTCTGAGCTCTGAAAAGTCTCCAGGAAGGACAGCCATACACTTTTCAGGGCTTGGTGCAAATTGTCACTGTAGGATCTTTGTTTAAATGAATGATAAAGATTTAGCCTGGCATTGGTGGCTCATACCTGTAGTCTTAACCACTCAAGAGGCTGAGGTCTGAGGCTTATGGTTCAAAGCCATCCCAGGCATGAAAGTTCATGAGACTCTTTAACTAACTACCAAAAAAGCAGGAAATGGCACTGTAACTCAAAGTTGTAGTGAGAAAATGCCCAGGCCCTGAGTGTTCAAGCCTTAGGACACACACACACACACACACACACACAGATAAAAGATTTCAAGATGATGCCAGCAAGGCATCCTGCACATAATTGTGAAGTAGGTGCTGCCTCTGGCTGAGATCTACATGAGTATCTGAGACCCTCATCTAAACCTGTGATGGATATCTTCATCTTCATCTCTGTTCCAGGTATGAAGATGAGGTAAACAAGCACACAGCAGCAGAGAATGAGTTCGTGGGGCTCAAGAAGGTAGGTGAAGGGGTTGAGAATGTGGGTTAGGGTCTGAGTGCTTCCCTAGCATGTATGAGGCCCTGGGTTCTATTCCTTAGTACCACATGAGCAGGATGAACAGATTCAGGGTCCCTTTCTCGTCCCTGAGAAGGAACGGAGCCAGCGACCCTGTGCTGTGGGCAGGGCTTATACTTCCTTACATTTTGGGAAATATTGATGAAAGAAGTTGTTCTGAGTACATTGCGGAAGGGGGAGAAATCTTCAAATTTTACTGTGTCTAATTAACTGGTTAGTGATGAGAACTAATAATGGATGTTTTATGGATAGCATTAGTCAAGATTTTCAGCCTATATGTACCTTGAGTATTAGCAATAACAATCAACTATAGTTCATTTAAATCAGTCACTGTAATGATGAAGACTTCTAATTAAAAGATTGGGCTTTGTTACTATATAACCAGTCACATTCATATTAGGCGGGTTTTTCTACTCTAACACTAGATTTCTGTGGCTCATTTGCCACAGAAAAGCCATCTACATTTGTTACATTTATATTCATTTGTTACATTTATATTCATTTACCATTATATTTTGTTACGGCTTTAGGTTTAATCACTCAAAGCAATAGAAAAGCAGACATTTATTTAGCTGCCTTTCTCCAATTACCAGTGGGTTTTTTTTTGTGTGCGTGCGTGCGTGCGTGTGTGCGTGTATGTGTGTGTGTGTGTGTGTGTGTGTGTGTGTGTGTGTGTGTGTGTGTGCTGGTATTGGGGCTTAAACTCAGGGCCTGGAGTCAGTCCTGTAGTTTTGTGTTCAATGCTGGTGCTTTACTACTTGACTACAGCTCCATTTTCAGTTTTTGGTAGTTGATTGGATATAGGAGTCTCCTGGACATCTCTTCCAGGACTGAGATTCAACAGGGAACCTTAGATCTCAAATTCCTGAGTAGTTAAAATTAAAGGTGTGAGCCCCTGGTGCCCAGCTAGTTTTCTTCTTCTCCCTTCTCCTCCTTCCTCCTCCTCCTCCTCCTCCTCCTCCTCCTCCTCCTCC